AATCCCAACCCTGGTTATAAGGGACTTTTCTTCTGTAAGGGTCTAATATTTCATTTTTTAAAAAAAATGAATGCATCTTTTTACGAAGAGAGCATATGTGGTACTTCATCTTCTGACCTGAAATAAGTGAGAAAAACAAGGCTTTCATTTTTAAATATTAATTTTCACTGATCTAGAGCAGGGGTTTCAAACTGGCGGCCCATGAGCCGGTTGTGTCACTTGCAGGCCACGCCCACCCCAGCTCCCCAAAGGAGGGAAACATCACAATACGTCACGTGATGGCAATGTGATGCCACAAGTTTGACACCCATGATCTAGAGGCTGAAAGAAGTAAAAATGAAAAAAAGAAAACCAAATATATCTACCAAATTTGAGCTAAAGAAATTGTGCTCATTGTGTTTATCTCTTCTTTATTTAAAGTATTTCATTGCTTATATTTGTCCATAAGTACATGATTTCCTAAGTCTTCAACTGTTACTTATAATGCTGGTTTTTTCATTCCAGAACAGTTTCGACCTCCCCAAAATATTACTGTGGATTATAGTTCACCATTATATTATAATGTCCAGTGGGAACCTCCTCCAAACTCTCGTAAACTTGGAAGTAATTGCTTTAAGTTCCAAATAAAGGTAAGAACCAACAAGTCAAAAAATTTCCTTGCCAGCCTAATGTCAATTTTTAGATTTGAAAATGACATCCATAGGAAAACAAATATTTCAAATTTTGAAAAGATTGCCAGATTGTCATTGATTTAAAGAATATAGAAGTGCTGTTTCATGGTTTCATGTACAGGAATAAGACAGGATAAAAATCCCAGAAATACTTGGATGAAGGGATTCTTATTGTCCCAAATACCCTAGGACAGGTTCTCAACCTGTGGCCTATGGAACCCTGGGGGTCCACTATGTCGTCATAGGGAGTCCAGGAAGGCTTGAAGAAATGTTATGCTTTAAATCTTGAGTTAAGTCTTGGGGGTCCATGGTCATGATCTGTGGCCACAAAAGTTAAAGAGGAACCACAGTGAAGAAAAGGATGAGAACCCTCAAGGTAATAGGTGGGCTTTTCTACCCACTAGGCACTCCCAGTAGTGGTGGGATTCAAATTTTTTTACTACCAGTTCTGTGGGCGTGGCTTAGTGGGAGTGGCAGTGGAAGGATACTATAAAATCTCCAGTCAGAGGTGGTATTTGCCGGTTCTCTGAACTACTCAAAATTTCTGCTTCAGGTCAGAACCTGCTGAATACCACCTCTGACTCTCAGCTATACAATAAACTAAATCTATTGTCAAGGTAAGTTGGGAATATTAATCACTCTCTTGTACTAATTAGTACAAGGAGGCTTGTATTAGATCTGCATTGATTGCCAACTAGACTATGCAAAGCAACTGGAAGCAATGCTTCACAACATGTGAAGAGGCTTTGCTAAGTTATGTTTGTATGTGTACATCTGCAGACATAACAACTTTGTTTTGCTGGTGATTCTGAAGGAAATGTTTTGTGTGTTGAAGTGTTTTCTATGGAATCATAGAAACTTTGTCAGAGGGTATCTCTTTCACCTGGTTTGATTCATTTCACTCTAATTTCAATATTGTAATCTATTTAGCTTTCATATTTATATTGTGTTACCTTCTTTGAGTATTTGCTAAAGGAGAAAGAAGGGGCTATTGTATAAATCAAATATGGTTGCCTACAGGTGCAGGTTAACTGGATGCAAGAAGGCAAAAATGCTCATCTGAATAGGATTATCGCCAGGTAGCAGGCCTGTTTCCATAATTAAAATGAGAAGTAATTAAAATAAAAGAGTTCTGATATTTAGGAAGAAAAAATGAAGGTCTGCTCAAAAAATAAATGACCCATTGCAAAATAAATGCTACTGGGCCTACAACAAATCAAAAGGGGTATATAAACAGATTTTTTTTTCTCTTTTCAGTTGCATGGTTAGCAAAGAAGTAAAGTAATGGCATGAAATCATTAGCAGAAACAGCATAAAGGAACTGGCTAGTGCTTCTCTACTACAGATAGTTCTTGACTTAAGACCACAACTGAGCCCAAAATTTCTGTTGCTATGTGAGACTGTGGTTAAGTGAATTTTGCCTCATTTTACAACCTTTCTGGCCACAGTTGTTACGGGAATCACTGCAGTTGTTTAAGATTAAGATTTAACATTGTTGTTAAGTGAATCTTGCTTCCCCATTGACTTTGCTTGTCAGAAGGTTGCAAAATTACATGACCCTGGAACATTACAAGCACCATAAATATGAGTCGGTTGCCAAGTGTTTGCATTTTGATCATGTGACCATGGGGATACTGTCATAAGTGTTAAAATAGTCTTAAGTCTTTTTTTCAGTGGTGTTGCAACTTTGAACTATCACTAAATGAACTGTTGTAAGTCAAAGATTACCTGTACAATATTTGTAAGAAATGAGGACATAGTTCATTCAGCAAGCATAACACCAGAGGGGCTGCAAGAGATGATAATTAGTTCAGAAATTAAACATAGGAATGTCTCCAAAGAAATGTTGCCTGTAAGATAACATAAATAAAAGTGTTTAAAGGGAAAGTAAATAAATACTCTTCCTTCCCAACACTTTCTTCTCGCTATACTTATCATTTGGCCATTATAATTATTATAAACAACTGACTGTGGGAAATGTATACCGGTTTAGAAAAGGACAAAATTATCAATACTAGTAACTATTTTATTTTCCCCCTTTATTTTCAAGGATGAACGCAGGAATACAATCATGAATGTAAGTGTTGTCACGTAATAAATTGCCATTTGTTTAATCATCTCATTCTGTCTAAATTTGCTATTACTATTCAGATTTGATCCAAAATAGAAAATAGTGTTGAAAATTTTCCAGGAACTCTAAATATGAAGAGGTACATGAACAAAATTGATAGTTGGACAGAATTTCATTTTTCATCAGAAATATTTTTTTATAAATAAAAATAGGCAGAATAACACTAATATCACACCACAAGAAATTTCATTGGAAACTGCTGCTAAGTGGACATACAGGTCTTAAAATTAGGTGATCAGGATGCTATATAGTTCAAGGTCAGTTATTTTCTTCATACAAAAAAACAGATATTGTACAGAAGGAACCAGATTTAATCCAAGAAAACCATATACAATTTAAAAAGTAACCATCAAGCCCCTTAGATGTCAGACTTCTAAATTTTGGAAACAATCAAGAGTTGTCTACCCCCAGTTTTAAAAAAATAAAAATTGTTCTCCACAGGCACAGCATCAAAGTGTCATTCCTTGTTTTTATGGCATTCCTTGTATGAATATGTGCTGTTAAATTAGGAAAATTCGTAGCTTAAACCAGGAAGATGGAAGATATTCTAAATCTACAATTTAATTATTGGTCTATTGATTGTTTTTAGAGATGAATACTGAGTTTGCTTTTTGTCCAATCAATTGGGAGCAAAATAGAAACCCCTTGCACTTGGTCCCAGTGGGAATTGTAGTAATTTTTAACGAATTCTCCAGATCCTAGATCATAGGACTTATCAGAGTTCAGAACGACTCTGATAAGTCAAAATAATAATGCTATTCCCTCATCTTTTCTTGCATAAGGGGCAAAAATAGGGCAGTTATTAATTTTTTTATTGTAATATCAAGTTTTAACCTCATATTCTAACATTCAATAGCAGTTTGTTTTCTTTGCATAATTCAATTTTAAAAAACATTTCATAGTCACAAAGAAATGGAAGCAAGGCTTGAAATTAAAAATGAGTTTTTACAATATTTCTTTTCATTAATAAGCAAAACATTAACTATAATATGATTGTCCCAAAGGTGCTTTTCAACAAGCAACTGGACTTTCTGGTTTTTCTTTGAAGATATTTAACTTCTCACAAAGGTAGAATACCATTGTAATTAGCATGCACTGAGGGGGGGGTGCACCTGCCCGGGGAGTGCGCACATGTCCGTGGGTGGGGCACATGCATGCGTGGGATGGGGCGGTGTGCATGCATGGGGTGGGGGGTCATGCACACATGCATGGGGGTGGAGAGGTCATGCGTGCATGTGCTGGGGCAGAGTGCATGCACAGGGTGCGCACATGTTGCATTTTGGGGACTTGGTGCCAAAAAGGTTAGCCATCACTGCGATAGAGCAAATCTGTAAGTTAAAAATATCGGAAAAGAAATGAACAGCTGAAGAAGCTTCTTGGATGAGAAGCAAAATGTCTTCAAAGAAAAACCAGAAAGTCCAGTTGCCTCTTGAAAACCATCTTTGGGACAACCATGACCTGGATGACTGAGAATCTCCATAGTCATTTAGCAATATAAAGTGATTGATTCAAGATAAATTGTATTTTTATACTGAGAATTGTTATTTCATCAAGCAAAAATTTAAGTACTGGTAGATAAATGTTTTGCTTTTAGGTAACAGAAAAAACATACAATTTCGCAAAGCCTGCAAAATATATCTTGAGAATTCGCTCAGTTGGACGCTTTACGTGTCCAATTTCAAAAGAAATGAATGGAGAATGGAGTGAACCTATTGAGTTTGGTAATTTATTTTTTCTTTAATTATTTTTTCTTCTTGATGCTAACATTCTAATAATCAGCTCGTTATGAGCTTCCTAATATCAAAATGATCACTGAAAAATAAGATAATATTGATATATTTAGGTAATTCCTCAAGATACTTTGGTAGCAAGGTTTCAAAAAATTATGGGATTTAAAGTTTTTAGAGCCTCAAACTGTGAGTTCTGCTTTTAATGCAAACAATCTTAGAGATAATAAATTTAAATTCTCCAAACACACCCCCCCCCCCCCCCCATTTTTGCTACTATATTGAAGACTTGTAATAAATAAGTTATTACAGTTTAATTATGTTTATGTGGATAAAATTCCAATTTAAAGTAAAAAAAATTAGAACATGATAAATAACATGTTCTACTACGATGGGTCATTTGGCAGCAATTATTATTGTTTTTCACTAAGATGTTGAAATGCACAAGATATTAATGGAATGTGAAAATTAATACTTGATTTAACAGACTCAAAAATACTATATAACTAAAATGTATAATAGCGTATTAATTTAGATTTAGATCATCATTTCTTAATTGGGTCACAGAATGTGATTGTAGGAGAAGAGAAGGCACAGCTGGAAGGCAGACTAAAACACATCATCAGTTTGTAGTCCTTGTGTTGCCAAATCCAGTCCCCCATGAATTCTGTTGACCCTTATCTAGTGCCAATTTAGCACTGAATGTTAGTTGACAATGACTTTGAACCTAACAAACCCTCCTGGTTATTTGTTCCTGATACTGGTGTTTGAATAGAACTGGCAACAAATAAATCCATTCCATACTGGCATAAACCATTGGGAAGGACTAATTTGAAATTAATTTGTAACAGATATTTCATAGATGCTCATTCATAGTAAAACTGGTACATCTATCAAATAATTTTCACCAAAAAATTGTTGGAGCAAGAATAGGTGAATGGTACCTATAGAATCTGTCGTGGAAAGATAATTGTAAAGCAATATATTTGTAAGAGCCAGTGCCATCACAAAACCAAAGGTTGTCATAAATGCACAATTAGCATGGTTAAATTTATTTCTTGAATATACCACTGTAACACATTGGAACTATTATTACACTCTTATTATCAGTATGTATAGAGACTCAAACTTGTAAACTGGTTAAGGCACCAGGCTAGAAACCAAAACATTGTAACAGAAAATGACTTCCAAAATCTTATCAAGAAAACTGCAGGGACGTGTTCAGGCAGTTGCCTGGAATTGAGATTGACTCAAAGGCACTATGTATGTATGTATGTATGTATGTATGTATGTATATGTATATGTATATGTATGTATATGTATATATATGTATATGTATGTATATGTATGTATATATGTTTAAATAGTGATTGACACATTCTGATAAAGATTAGAAGCATTATCATTTGAAACAAAATCTGGATCCCTACCTCCTAACTTTAAAATTTTACATTAATTTTAAAAATAAAAAAAGATCTAATGACCAATGTAAAATGGGCTTGAACATCTTTACAGATTACAATAATATACATACACACACACGAAAAATGACAAAAAAGTATGAAAAAACATGATATTCCATTTGTTTTTGACATCTTTAATTTGCGATGTAATATTCTTTTGTTCATTGATAATAACCACTTGTAATGCTAGAGATATTTGCTGTATCCCATCATAGTAAACAATAATAAACATAACTTTATTTTTAAATACAAATTATCTCAATAAAATCAAATTACTCTTCCTCCCGCCATGAATATTCCTAATTCCTTATCAACTTTATTCTAAAGATAATGGATGTGTGAGACAAAGATTCATTTTTAAAAATACTTTTTACATTCTTTGATGGTAGCAGAATAACAACAAAATTTGTTGTGTCATTTTCTTAGCTCCACATCCACATTGATAGTCATCAGCTAGCCACGGGTGAGAAACTATGACTTGTGGACTTCCAACTTCCAAAATTCCTGAATTAGCCATTGTATCTCTATTTAATGAACACACAAAAACTGGATTTTGATTACCTGGTCACATCTGCTGATTAAGGAAGCTCTAAATTCAACATTCTCCTTTTGGATTATAAGTTTTTCTCTCAAGTTTTAATGACATTTTGAGTTTGAGACAAAGTGATTGGACTAAAAAATCTACTGCTATCTTCCAAGTTCACAGCAGATTTGAAGGGCTACATTTATTTTCTCCACTGCAGGATCATTTTAGGAATTTATATAAAATACCTGATACAGGTTGACTGAAAACATGAAAATAAACATATTTGTAATTCTGTTTAGGGTTAACTTGGCTTTCTTAGATGAGCACCTAAATTTGCTCTCCTACAAAGAAGTAGTGGCCAATATGTACATTATTTCCGAAATAGAAAGGTACAAATCAGTATTTGGTCAATTAGTTTTGTTTTCCTGCTACCGATGATACCATATTTATATACAGCTATATTACAATTATTTCATTAAATATACATATTAAAATAATGGTACCTATAGGGTCAAGGGTATCTTTTGGCTTTTTCTATTTTTTTCCTACCAAAAAAAGAGCTCTGAAGCCTGCTTCTTCATTGAGCAATATAATCATGTGGGTCTGAATGTCTCTTTAAATAAATCAGTATAAGACTACTAAAACCTATTGTTTCAGGTACTGACCCTGATGTGTTCCCTACACTGCCTTTAATCTTTGCTGCACTTGGAACCATAATGATAATTGTGCTTTTGACCTTGATTTGTAAAAGGTAAAATTTAATTATTTTTCATTGCTTTGCAGACACAGAAAACAGTTTTCACTTTAACATCTTTTTGTCCTAGCAGCTGATAAATCTAGTCCTTTAAAAAACTCAAGTGCAAATCAGCACTTTGTCAACTAGACAAGAGGCTGATATTGAGAAAGGTGTAAGAATATATGTTTTTACCTTAATAAAGACAACTTGTTTATGTAACATAATGATAAAAATAGATTGAATACAAGCATCGCTACACAACTATTAGGTTAAATTTACTTCTAAGAAGAGCAGAACAAAACCAATAAGTACCTTTAAAAAATTGCAAGGTACGTTTTGCTGATTGCTATGGATATAACTCTTAACAAAAACCTATCTTCTGCTTTAGGCCTGTTTTTGTAACAGATATTGAATCTTTGTCTTTTTATTTATTTTTATTTCATTGATTTCTCTCCACTTTTTCTTATATTATTCCCCCCCCCCCTTTTTTCCCCCTCCTAATGACTTTGGCTTCCAATTGCCTGCTGTAAGAATTCCTCTTGGCTGTTGTTCTCAGATACCTTTTTAAAATTAATATACTGCCTGTTTATTCTTTTTTCCCCCCTTTGGTGCAATTGGGTTAATAAAGGTTCAAAAGAATGCTTTTTGTATTTTATGGAACAGAATCTATCTGAACCCTATGCTTATTTCTGTATCTAGTTTTGTAAAAGATGATTCAATGCACTTAGTAGTTTTTTTAAGAGTTTTTTGTTCTGCTCTCAGACCTTGTAGAATTGATAGAATTAAACACAAAGAGTTACTAGTCTTATACTTTAGAAGTATGTTGTGTCAATGCTGTTGCACATTTTCAGGCACCTATAACAGGGTTATTTCAAGAGAAGAATCTGGGATAATGCTCCAAATTAGGGGGTTGGATAATGCTCCTTCAGGGGGTTGGACTAGATGACCTTCAAGGTCCCTTCCAACTCTGATTATCTGTTATCTGTTAAATCTTTCTTTGTACAGGAACCACATATGGGGAAAACTTACTGACCCAGTTCCCCAACCAAAAGATATGTGGCAACATGAGAAGAATGTGGAGGTGAGTTCGAAATATGCTAAATATAATAATCTATAAAGTATTTTATGTATACATGAGTAACTTTTTCATACCTACTTTATAATTTAACGCTGCTTAATAATTGGTTCTGTCATTCTTTTATTTGTAGCAATATAAATTGAGAATAGAAATGTACTTTTAGTATGAACTTTTAGCATCCAAAATGACTCAAGACCAAGTCTAAAGACCAAAATCTAAGAATTACCTTTTCCATTATGAATCTACCTTAACAGAAGTTAGTTTGAAGATATACTACTCCCAGAAACTCAATTATCTAACACACAGGAGTTTTCCTGTAGAGTCCAAGGCCATAGAATTAATTGCTCTCCCTAAGAGGAGTGTTTTGTCCTCAATCTCCCAGATTTTTGGCAAATGGCTAAAACACACCTGTTCTCTCTTCCTATTTCCAACCTCCACAACTTCTGTACTATGAGATAGGTTGTGCTAACAATGACTAGCTGAACTATGTTTTCATGGCTGATGGTGGACTAGAACATGGGCCTCCACTGTGCCAGTCCAATATTTCATCATCACTTCACTATCCTGTTCTCTGTTGAGGGACTAATTTATATACAAAGAAAAATAAGGGTTTTGTTATGTGTATTTGCAATGAGCTGTGATGTAGAAATGAGAATTAAACAATCATGATCTTTAAAATTAATGCAAGGATATTTTCTTTTCTTTGAAGTGGGTGACCCCAGTACCTATAGCAGGTGAATCAATAACAGTGGTTGAAGAAATGTCTGCCGTCTCCCCAAAAGTATGAGGCATTGTCCACTACCAAAAAAACCTACCCTAATAAAATAGTAAAAGAAAACCTGTGTATGTGTATGCTTATCTATTTCTTTCAAAATATGAATGCATTTGCATAAATTCAGACAGTGGGATTTAGGATAACAATCTTAAAACTAGAGGCTGTCAAACAAGAGCTAGGGCAATTAATTTTTCCAAGGTGTCACATGAGAAACTGGGACGGTTGTGGAAGGCAGAACTAAAAGGGATGTGAAAGTGCATAGGCATGCATGGACACACATACATAAATTGAATTTAAAGTCACTTTCAGAATAAAAGACGAGGGCAGTCAAAGGGCTGGATGTAGTCCAGGAGCCATAAAATGCTAGATTCATCTGTACAAAAGGAACCAACTTGCTTCCCACTCCCCTTGGAGCTTGAATGTGGAATGCTGTTAGTACTTTGAACAGATCAATCGTTAAGGGAAGGTACCATAAAAACCCACAGATAAGTCCATTCATGGATAAATTCTTTTCCCCCATTTTTCTGTTTTCATATTTCAATAAATACTATTTGTTTTCTACTTGGCTTATCCAAGGGTGGCACATTTTTTTATGGTACAGGTATTTTGGTTTAGTTTGTGTGTGTGTGTGTGTGTAGGTAGGTAGATACGTAGGTATATTTTGGTTCTTAAAATTTTCAACAAGAGCATTTTTGTATGTGTTTAAAACAGCAACATTCTATTATGAATAGATGTTTCACAAGAAAGTTGTTATTTTCCAAGTACCAACATCACTACAGTTCAGAGTGGAAACCTCATGGTAAGCATTTTGTGAAGGCATCCACAGCGCTACTCCAAAACTCTCATATTTTTTATGCTTTCACATTTTCAATGTTTTAACATAGAAAATTATGCTGAATACAGAAAACATGTATGCTCGTTTCAGAGAGGCTTCGCCTTAATGGTAGAATACTTGGGATGTTTGAATTGTTGATAAATTATTTTAATTGTTTTCTTTTCCTTCATTTAAAAGTACAAGATACATCTTGAAAACCAATAAAGGAGGATATTTGTAGCTCAGTGGTATTCTCAATCTTTGGTATTCTCTGAGTGTAGTTCTTTTCTTGCAGACCTCTTATTACCCAAACTAGGTAATGTCGTCAGTGCTAGTAAGGAATGGAATTTGCTCTCCTCAGTGAGGAGAGCAAAAACCTCTTCTTACTAGCACTGATGTTATCTAGTGTGAGTAATGTCTGCAAGAAAACTTAACTAAGAGTACCAAAGACCCCTCACATCTTGAAATTATGTGATATGTAGGTCCTTTTAGACACCAAAGGCTCACATAATAGGGTAACTTGTTTAGGCAATAAATTGACCTATTGAATTTATGTACATTGTAGACTATTATTGACAATTTATATAAAAATGTGTTATTTAATATTGCAGCTTTCAAGCTCCACATTAAATATTTGAAAGATCAGTTGGGACTCCAAAACCATGACTATCAGAGCTTCCTGCTACCATGACTATCAAAGTTTCCCAGTTTCATATTCCCAAGAAAACACATAATTAGGTAAATAATTTTATTGCAGAAAATTAGAAAGATACAACCCAGGTCTGTGTGCAACACTACACAATAATTCTGCTATATGCATGTGTGATTGGCTGAGAGTCTTGAAGTTCAGTCCTGGGATTCCTCCTGCACCATTTTTATATTAACACATTTTTGGCTGCTCTTTTCTTGATTTTATTGAACTTTTCAGAGCCTCTTGACTACACTTTTATATGATGGAGTTGATGAACTAGATATATTTAATAACTTTTGGGATGAGGCTGTATATATTGTTTTTATAAATCAATGAAGACCTTTTTTACTATTGAATAGCAAAAAATTACTTAATATTTAAAATATTTAGTAAAAATCAACTGCCAATTGCCTTGTTAATGGAGATACATTTCAACATATTGCCCAACAAAGTCTACTATCACATTTTTGACTGAAAGTCAAAACTGTTCATATGACTTCACTTACCAATTGGACACAAATGATACATTATGAAAGCATTGCAAGACATAATTATATAATTCTGGAATGAAAACTACTTTAGCTGCAACAACAGATTGTCAGTGTGCTTATCTGTCAATCTCCGCAAAGGACTTTTTGAGCAATTTGGTCAGTTTTTAATTCAATTTTTCAGGCCCATTTTTACTTCTAATTTTGTTATATGTCACAGTTTAATGGCTGTATAACTTTTTCTGATAATGACCAATATCGTATACAGTAATTATCTTGGGTCCCAAAACACACCTCAAAATTGGGTTTGGCTTATTAATAGATGTGCTTATCCACAAGTATATAGGAGAAATACAATAAAGTAAAAAAAAAAGAACCATTCAAAATAATACTAGATAATACACATCTGCTGCAATACGTCTCTCCTCACTTTTTTTTTTTTTTTGCAAATTCTGGAACTGGAAAGTCAGATTCTCTCATTGTACCATCATCCTTTAAACCTACTAATCTAAATTAGTAGAAAATTCTACTAATTTTTTCTGATACCGTATTTATTTTTTTATTCAATACTCTAAACATCAATATCAATAAAAACACTTCTAATAGCTACTTGTTTTTCATTAGCACAGTGTAAAAGCATACAAATGCCATGTGGGAACATGAGTAAGACATCTTTCTTCAAATAATCAAAGACCCATACAGGTGTTTTATCTAATGCCACATACATGTGCTAGTTTACAAAGCATGTACATGACATTTTCCCATAGCTCTTTCTACTTATTCTTAGGTGATCTGTAATAATTAGCATCCCTATATGCACACAGCTTAACCATTGCATTACTATTTTCAAGCTATGTTTTTCCCATATTCACAATGTGTTGCTATTTCAAACTATTTTACCATTTTCACAAAAGCATGATGAACACTTCTGAAGGCCTATATGAACATATCTTATTTAAAGAGCCTTTAAATCTAGTGATTATGTCTAATAATCCAACTACAATATTCTCCCCCCACACACACCACAGGATAGCATTTTAAAATGTCTTGTCGTACTTGTTATTTCCTTACTTTGTCCCACTCCCCCTTTTTGTGCAGGTGGATATGCACATGCATAAATGCTGCCGAAGGTCAGTAAACCACATCTTACTGCATGGTGAGGCTGGCCCTAAAACCCAAGATGTAGTAGTCATACATTTGACACATAGTTAATTATGTTTATTGTTCACAGAATGCCCCAAATTGGAGAACACAAATGCTAGATGTTCAGCTGTGCAAAAACAGTACATAGTGCTTAAGTACAAGTGGAAAAACAAGATTGGCTAAATGAATATTTTTCATTTTTCAAAACATGGTTTTTATGGTCCTTTTAAGACAGGACTTGAAACTTTTAGCTGATCTTCAGACAAAAGCAGATCAGCTTCCTTGGACCCTGAACTGTAGCTACTATAACCAACACCAAAGACAAGACAAATCCAATGAAGTGGACAGTCTGTTCTGATGCCTGTGTAATGTACATCAGTTCACTGAAGGCAGTTTCTAGTCCTTCTTAAACATGATCTGGCCCCGATAAATAAGACTGAGTAGGAATTTTTTTAAGTCAGTGGTCCATAATGGCAAGTTATTCTACATGATCTGTCAATTTAACTTACATTTCTAATAAAATTTTGTTTAAATGACTTTCTTTAACTCATCATACAACACAAGCACAAATGCACCACCCATGCCTCGAAGAACATTAGACAATGCGCCTTTGAAGAAAGCCTTTCCACCTTCATCTCTTGCAATTTTTTTCCAACAGTCAATTGTTCCAGAGTACATAATGTCAGCTGTGGGGAAAATAAATTGATTCTTTTGAATTACTTAGGTACAAACATAGCAAGATCACAAGATATAAGGAAGCTACCCAGAATTCATAGTTTCAGTAACATATCCACCAAATAGTTCCGTTACATTCATTTATTATAGGAGGTTGTGGGGGAGAAATCTCTCAGCTAGGCAATATTTATTTTTAATAGTGGACCAAAAGTACAATTCCCTTACCGGAATGCAGCGCATCTGTAGTGCAATTCAACTGACATGATTGTCAAGCTGCTAGGGCTGAATGACTTAATACATACTTAAGTCTTAACCAATAACATCCACTGTGAATGAGGTTGCAAGGTTTTATATTTAAACAGAGCACACAATGCATGAATGGAAAAAGCCCCCATTCTGCTCCAAAGTTTATAAGCAAGTTCTATTTACCTGCTTTACGCCCAGATTGCATCATCATTCGACGTCGCACGGTGTCAAAGGGATAGGAGATCACGCCAGCTACTGAAGTCACTGTTTGTGCAATCATCCAGCTTATCACAATATGAGTATTCCTAGGATCTGGCAACATACCTGTAATGTAACAAAGTTCTCATGAAAATATAGACTGCTTTGCATTAAGATTTGGAAGCATTGTTTAAGAGTGTCCAAAGGTATGTAAAGTAAGATCAATATCAATTATTTTATTTACAACACAATGACTGTTGTGTCATCCCACATCAATTACAGTTAGCAGTAATGGTAAAATCATGTTTAGTCTTATTCTTTCCGCTTTCAGGAAAGATAACGAGACTTTCTTTAAGCAGGCATTTTTTAACCTTAATAAAACGTAGAAGAGAATAAGGTTGAGCTGTGGAGTCCTTGGTGCCCCCCAAACATGTGTGCTTGCAGATGTTTCATTATTCAATTCAGTAACATTGTCAGTACCATTAATAAATACTGATGATGTTACCAAATTCAGAGAACTCCAAGATTTCTTCAGTTCAATAGAATATTTTAACTATTTTTATTTATCTTTATCTTTGAATTCTATGCCTTCTATGTCAAATAAAATAGCTATGAAAATGTAACTTTGTTTAAGCAGAATTGTGGATACATTTTATAAAAAGAGATATTAAATACTGCCCAAAGTAGATGTACTTCTCTAAATGCAAGCATTCAAATAATCTACTGCTATCATTCAACTTTTTTCTTTGAATACAAATCCCCATTACCC